GGGAAGGGGCCAAGAGTCGGAAGAGGGAATCGGAGAGATGGGAAGGAGGAGGAGGAGGAGGAGGAGGAGAAGGGGGAGGAGGAGGAGGAGGAGGATGGGGAGGAGGAGGAGGAGGAGGAGGAGGAGGCAGCACGCGGGCGCATGCTCGCTCGAGCGCGGGCGCTGGGGGCCGTTGTCGCCGCCGTGGCCGCAGGCGAGCGTGCGCGCCCGCAGGCGGGTGATGACGGCAGCGATGGCGATGGCGATGCTGCTGATGCTGATGATGATGATACGCATGGTGATGATGATGATGATGATGGTGATGATGATGATGATGGTGATGGTGATGGTGATGATGATGGTGATGGTGATGGTGATGATGACGACGATCATGATGGGATGGTGATGATGATGATGATGATGATGATGATAATGATGATGACGACGATGATGATGACGACGATGCTGATGATGATGATGATGATGATGATGATGAATCTTGTTATGATGATGCTGATGATGATGTTGATGATGACGATGATCACGACTATCACGATGACCACGATTGTGATGATGCTGAGATTGACGATGGTGATGGTGGTGATGCTAATGATGACGATAATGATAATGACAGTGACGATGCTGATGATGATGCCGACGAGGAGCAGGAGGAGGAGGATGGTGATTTTGGTGGCTGAATCTTTCTGCCGCGGGCGGCAGCGTCACTGCTCTCAGCTAAGTAGACACTGGTTCTTTTCGAATAACATCAAAGACATGTTGAAGTAAGTCCAGGCATGCATTAGACAGGGGACGGAGAAAAGACTAGGGAAAGTTCCTCGGGATATTCGAGTACCGCATCATTCGTATTATCCATGGTCGTAGACGTGTTTGAAAAACTCCTGGCTATTGTTGCACTGCGAGAGGCCGCACATGGAGTTGATAAAAAGAAGCGCCACCTCCAGCTCGGCATGCATGGCCGTATCCTTCGGGATACACCGGCCGGTCTGCTTCCAGATCTTCGGGCTGTACCGGCCGGTCTGCTTCCAGAGAAACTCCTGGCTATTGTTGCACTGCGAGAGGCCGCACATGGAGTTGATAAGAAGACGCGCCACCTCCAGCTCGGCATGCATGGCCGTACACCCTGCGAAATGCTTAAGAAATCATGGGTTAAGAAATTCATAGTCTCAGAACTTGAACAAAAACCCAAGATTTCTATCAAGATCTTAAGATTTACATTGAAACGTTAAGAATAATCGAGACTCTGGCCGAAAACTTAAGTTTTCTTAAGCATCGCCTGAGGTGTATTCTTCGGGATGTGCCGGCCGGTCTGCTTCCAGACCTGCCAGCCCGCGGGCGTCAGCGGCGCGGCGACGCAGCCAGCAGCCGCTGGGTCGCCGCGTCGCGCCCCGTCGAGAGAGCCCCGTCGAGGCGCAGGTGATGCCAGTCCGCAGGCGCAGTCTTGATCGGCGAGGTGAAGGAGTAGTCATGGTGAGATTCGAGTGCACGTTCGGCTGCCCCGTCGGCTAAGCATTTCGCCTCCAGGGAGGAGGAGGAGGAGGAGGAGGAGGAGGAGGACGATTGATAAATGACCGGGGGTCGTGTTCACGCGGCGGCGCCCGGGATGACGATTAGAGAAAACCGGCCGCGGGCCAGAAAACTATGCTTTTAGTCGTTCTCCTCCAGTCAGACAAGTGTGCAGAAAGAACAGAAACTATTTTTTTAATCGTTCCCTCCAATTTGTTTTATTAATCGTCATCCCGTATTAGTCACGGTGAGATTCGAGTGCGCGTTCGGCTGCCCCGTCGGCGAAGCAGTTCGCCTCCAGGGAAGCGTGCCACAGCCTGTTCGAACCCTCCGGTGCTGGCCGCGCGGCGTGTGCAGAGAAGAGAGCAAGAGGGCGTACGTGCCAGCAGCCACGAGCTGCCGATGATGGTGACTGATTGTTGTGAAGCTGATGGTGATGATGATCATGATGCTGCTGCTGCTGCTGCTGCTGCTGATGATGATGATGATGATGATGATGATGATGATGATCATCATGATGATGACGCTGATGATGATGAGGATGATGATGATGAGACTGATAATGATAATGATGATGATGATGATGATGATGATGATGATGATGATGATGATGATGATGCTGATGATGATGGTGGTGGTGGTGGTGGTGGTGATGATGGCGATGATGATAAGGATGATGATGATGATGAGGATGATGAGGATGATGATGATGAGACTGATAATGATGATGAGGATGATGATGATGATGATCATCATCATGACGATGATGCTGGTGGTGGTGAGGAGGAGGTCAGCGTGATGCGACAGCAGCAGGAGGCGACGGTGATCTGGCAAGCGCGGCCGAGCTCGAGCGCGCGAGCGGCGCGGCGCCGCGCGTGCCGACGCGGCGCGCGCCGGGCGCGGCGCCGCCCTCCGCCCGCGCGGACGCGGCGCGGGGCGCGGCGCGGCGCGCGGCGCGCGGCCAGCGGGCTGACCACGGCGGCTCCAGCGCGCGAGAGGCGCGGTCATGGCCAGCGGGGGCTGGACAGCAGGCGCAAGGGGCAGGGTCGAACCCCCGCGTCGGACAGAGGCTTCCCAGAAGGAGGCCGCCAGGATTACCGCCGCCGACGCTTCGGGCATCTGGGCGGGGATTTCGGACAGGGGCTTCCCAGAAGGAGACTGCCAGGGGCGGGAGCAGCTTGCCCAGGAGATTCAGGTCCCAGGAGGCCCCAGGCCGTCCCAGCAGGCCCTGGATAGACAAGCGCGTTCCACTACTCGCAGAGGAACTACTCGCAAATGGCCTGGATCCGCCGCGGGGGATCTACGATACACTACGCCAAGGCAACAAACTATGTTTCGGGCGTTTGCGAGCAGGCACTTTGCGAGTAGTGGAACGCTCTCGGTGATTGGAGGGCCCACGGCCGCTCAGAACTCGTCCTGGAGGGCCGTAGCCGGGAAGGCCTCCTCGATGGTCTTGGCCGGCTTCGCTCTCACCACGACGCGTTTGCCGAACACCTCGCGATTCCCAGCCTTGGTCACCTTCCTCTGGCGGGCCGTGATCATCACACGGCCTGGTATGACGCCAGCCCCACCTCTGTAGACGAGGCCCGCGCCGCCTTCTGAGAAGCACGAGTGCTTCTAATTGAGGAGCCTTCGCCCCTCCACCTGCCCGCCTCTGCGGGTGGCTGATCGCCCCTCCGTGTCCCCCCCCCCCCTCTCTCCCTCCCTCCTCGGCCACACGCAAGAGCGACCCGGGGTCTAAGAGTGACCCGTGGTGCGCGGGTCGAGGGGGCGCCAGGTGGCCGAACCCAGGCACGCAGGCAGCCACTACCGCACCGCGCTCGGCGATCGTGAGAGCTCACGGATTTATCCTCGTCCCAGCCCCGTCCGAGAGGAGGAGGAGGAGGAGGAGGAGGAGGAGGAGGAGGAGGAGGAGGAGGAGGAGGAGAAGGAAGAGAAGGAGGAGCAGGAGGAGCAGCAAAAGCAGGAGCAGGAGCAGGAGCAGGAGCAGGAGCAGGAGGAGCAGGAGCAGGAGCAGGAGCTACTACCCCCCGGTGAGAGCTCACACCGAAGGCCACTCCGGCAAAGGGCCACTCCTACGCGTCGTCGGCCTCCGCCCCCCCCCCCCCCGCCTCGCAGGACGAGGCGCCGCGGCGGGCCGGCGAAGGCCCCCGCTGGGGGCCAGGGGGGGGGGCGGGGCGGCTCGCCCCTGGCGGCGGCGGCGGGGGGGGGGCGCACGGACGGCGGGCCGCCTCGAGGGCAGGACGCGCGCGCGCGCTCTGGGCAGGGGGCAGGGCGCGGCCGTCCTCCGCCTCTGCCCTGCCCCGTCCATCCTCCTCCTCCTCCTCCTCCTCCTCCTCCTCCTCCTCCTCCTCCTCCTCCTCCTCCTCCTCCTCCTCCTCCTCCTCCTCCTCCTCCTGCTTCCCTAAGGGAGGCCTGGACCGAGCACGGGAGCGGGCGGAGGGCACGAGCCCCGCCGCAGAGTGCCCCGGGCTTCCGCGGGAATACTCCCGCCCCACCCGGCGCGCCGGCTCCAGAGCGGAAGGCCCGGAGGCGACGAGCAGCAGGCACCCCGCCAAAGCCAGGGGTTGCCCTCGGCTCCCGCGCCAACTGTGCTGATCGGGCGGAAAGGGGGGGAGGGGGGAGGGGGAGGGGAAGGGGGAGGGGGAGAGGGGGGGGGGGGGACGACGCGTCTACTCGCCCGCTTCGCCCTGGAAGCGAACGCCAGCCCCGACGTCCCTCCTGTGCCGCCGCGGCAGACCGAGCGCGCCCCGCCGGGCTGCCACCGCTGCGCCGCGCCCGCGGGATGCCCTCGCGGAGACGCGCTGAAGCACTCCCGGCGGCAAGCGCCATCGCAGCCGCGTCGGCTGCGCCAAACCAAGTCGGCCGCTCTGCGCGCCAGCTTGCGCGGGCCAGCGCAGCCGCAGAAATGCGCCAGCCATCGCCGAATAATAGCCACAGTCGAGGCCGCATTGGTTGTGCAAAGCAAGCTTCGGATGGGAGGCTGGGATGACTGCGCGAACAGTGGAGTTGACAACCTCATGTTCTGCAAGGTGGATTGCGCCGCATAGGTCGTGGCACCTAGATCGCATCCAATATATTCTCCGGTCTATGAAAACACACTCCCCCCCCCCCCCATTAACGACACAGTCGTCCATCCGACATGCGAATTCGTACAATCCCAGCCCAACCGGCATCGACCCCCCCCCCTGCCAGCCTCTGCAAAACGTAGGATGCGCGCATACTTCTTCATCTTAAGAAAGCAAAGTTCAATAACCCCTTGCCAGATAATGCACCACGAAGTCATCACGCGCGCGTCCATGTGAAAATCGTACCAAACACCATGTGTTCGCAAGCGCTCCAGCATAAAAACCTAAAGAAACCCTGGTTTCGCAACAACAAATTGGAAACGTCCTGTCCGCGCGCCCATGCTAAAATCATACAAGAAACCATCGGAGTCGTATGCATTCTGCCAAATCCAGCGATTTCATGTCACCGCGCGGCGCACCCGCGATGCTCCTGTCATACGCCGAGGGTGCGAATCCCATGCAAAAAAACACGCGGGCCACGTGCGCGCAACGCCGCGCGCGCATGATCAGTCTGACGGATTTGTTGAACTTCCGCGCGCGCGCGGAGTTCCTTTTCAACCTTGTCAGCATCACCGCGATCACCTGCTTCATCGACGAATGGACATCAGCATCGTCAGCGTGTTTGCCATCATTGGCGCCGTTATCGTTCGTGCCATCGCCCTCTCAAACATCGTCGTCGCTGGTGCCATCTTCGGCATTGTCGCAGACGTTGCCGACGTCATCTTGTCATCGCGCACGTCCGAGTATCGTCGATTTGTTCACCTTCATCATCGACTCACGGTGACGAACCTCGGCAGCGAGGATATTTTCATCGATGTCGTCATCGGTGGCGCCGCAGTCCCCCGCATCATGAGTTTTGCCACACAAGTTGCGGGTGGGAGGGTGGGATGTTTGATCGAGCAGTGGAGACGACGACTTCAAGTTCAGCAAAGTGGGTTGGTTGCACCACGTAGAGTCCACACCCAGAATAGAATCCGCCGACCCCCGCTTGCTGGGGGCCACATCCCTGGAGACTCCGGAGCTTCGAAATCTGCCTTCCGTGGCCTCAAAGACGTGCCAAGACGGTCCCGAATCGCCGAACGACTGGCCCAAGACACCCACGATGGCTCCAAGACGCCCCAAGACGCTTTCGAGACGCCCCAAGAAAGGCCCGAGAGCCTTCCCAAGAGGGTCCCGAGAGGCAAAAATCAATGGTGTTCCTTAGGTATTCCATCATCTCTGTGGTTATCGTCTTCTCGAACTTCCGACGCTCCAAGACGGCCCAAGATACCTCGTAGACCGCCCAAAAACTGCCTAAGAGGCCTACGATGGCCCCAGGACGGTCCACAGGGTTCCAAGACGGTTCAACGAGGGGCCCAAGACGGCCAAAGATCGCACCAACAGGGCCCTAAGAGAGGCCGAGAGGGAGAACACGAACCGAAAATTCGATCTTTCCGCCCAAAGGGGTCCCCCCAAAGCCTCAAGAAACCCCCAAGCGGCCCAAAAGAGGCACCCAATGAGCACCAAGAGGCAGCCGCAAGGCCAAAAGAGGCCTCAAACCGGCCCCCAAGACACTTCAAAACTGCCCCCCAAGAGGCTCAACCAGGCCCCGAAACAGTTCCCAAGACGCCCACAAAAGTTCCCAACTAGTGCTCAACAAAGCAACGACGCCACAACCGTGGACTCTCTTGGGAGCCGGCAGAATGGCGTAAGCCTCTTGAATAAGCTACGGTTTGGGGCCCACGCTAGCAAACATCGAATACATGTGTGAAGAAACTGTGACGCTTCATCTTGCTGGTCCGTGGTCTTGGCGAAACGTATCAACGAACACATCATGATCTGCACATGCACGCCGCTTAGGCAACACGCGCAGAACCACCCACGGAAGGATTAGACACGAGAATGGCGGAGATACGATTCGTGACGACGCAAAGTATGATGATCATCGCGCCTCAAGCTGAAACTGCGCGCTCTTTCTCGCACAAGAGCAAGCGTAATATGGAAAAGGCTCGGGGTGTCGAGAAGACGGCCCCCATGCTGGTGTCCTCAGCAGGCGGCAATGAAAAATGAGTTAGCCTTCCACTCGAAATCCGTCGAGTAGCCAGACGTGAGCACCTTCTCGTCGCACTCACTCAAACTACAATCGCACTTGCCAACCGTCTCTGAGTACTGCTTGTACTCCTGGCACTCCGTCAGCAGGCTCGGCATCACCTTGACGCCGCAACCGCACACCTTGGAAGAAAAAGAGAAAGATACAGCAAGCAGAGACAAACACGCCTTGCGTGCGCTTTGCGGTTTCCTCCGACCACTCTCCCAACGTGCGTAAAAGACGCGCGCCAAACATGAAGAAGGGCTCCACAACCCCCCTCTCGGCGGCGCGCACAGTAGGGTGGCGCGGAGGAGCGGCCTTTTACGAAACCCCGAGCGCTTCTGAGAAGATCAGAGGGGCCTCTCAAAAACCCTCCTGGCTTCTTACAAGGCTCCTTAGGAGCCCCAGGCCCCGTCTAAGAGGGCGCCCGGCTTCTGAGAGGCACCCCGTCGTCTTAACTGCCCCTCCCGCGCGGCACCCCTGGGCTAGAAGGAGGAGAATCGTAACAGTAATTTAACAACACGGAAACAGAGGGACCATGCTAGGCCACCCCAGGCCCTCACGCACAAGGGGAAGCCCTCTGTCTGACCACACCGTCTTCTAGTTCCCTGCACCCCCCGAAAGAGAAATAATCCCAACGCTGTGGAAACAAAACGTCATAAACCAGTACACGTAGGTCGGAAGAAGTAGGTAAAAACATGAAGTAGGAAGGCGGATTCAGTTGATTGGGTCCAGGCCCCCCAAGAGACTAACAACACACAGCAAAAGCGTGACGATGATTGAAATAGAAAGGCGCTTGAAGTAGATCGGGATCTGGGAATCCAAAAATACCTCCTTTCAACGACCGGCGTGCACGATTTCAAAAGCCCTTACGGGGTCCTCCCGGTTCCCGCGTCCAACATGCGAGAGCACTGGCGACTCTCCCTCATCACGATGACCTCCCAGGTCTCCACAAGGCTCTACTCAGGGCCCCACCAAGGGCTCTACTGGGGGCTCTCCTCCTCCTCCTCCTCCTCCTCCTCCTCCTCCTCCTCCTCCTCCTCCTCCTCCTCCTCCTCCTCCTCCTCCTCCCTCCTCCTGTTGTCCTCCTCCTCCTCCTCCTCCTCCTCCTCCTCCTCCTCCTCCTCCTCCTCCTGCTAGGGGCTCTACTAAGGGCTATTCTAGGGGCTTGACTGGAAATGTAGGGTTTTGCTGCTGCTGCTGCTGCTGCTGCTGCTGCTGCTGCTCTCTTTGTCCTCGCTGCCTCCCATTCTCTGGGCGATAACACGTGCGGAAATGTGGTGGATCGGCGTGCACAAGAACGGTTGTGGCCTGGCTACCTAACCCGTTTGCAGCCCCATCAAGTAGAACGGCACCATTTTCTTGAAGCCCCCATCTAGCTAGTCCCATGTCCTGCAGTATCATAGTAAGCTGCAGCTTTTCGTGTTCGGACATTCTGGGTGGTTCGCGAATTTCCAGCTAGCCAGCCTCGGCAAAGTGTGCACGAAGGTCATATCACACACATACACACCCGCGGATATTATTCCCGGAAAGGGCACAGGCCCAGGGTTCTCTTTTAGGGGTTTGCCCCCGGATCTGACGGCCTGTAGGGCCGGCGAATTTCTTTTCCGAACAATAACAAGGTCGCGCAGGGCCGGCGAATTAAAATTTGAGAATGTCCCTAGCGAAACGCTGGTTTTTGAAATCGCGATCGATAAATCACAGGGTGCGGGACACATTTTGGTCAGGGGCACGGATCACGTACGTTCCCATAGATTGGCCCCATCCAGGGGCACGCGTCTGTGTTTTTACGTATGTTCCTATAGATGGGCCATCTCGTTACCTATAGTATCGCCCCTCCAGGGGCACGAAGACGTATGCTTTTACGTATATTCCGATAGATTTGCCATCTCCATGAATACGTGTGCTCCCACAGATTGGCCCCATCCAGGGGCACGCATGCGTGTGTTTTTACGTATGTTCCTATACTTGGGCCCTCTCATTACCTATAGATTGGCATTCTCCAGGGGCACGAACTCGTATGTTTTTACATGTGTTCCTATAGGTTGGCCCTCTCCAGGATTACGTGTGTTCCCATAGATTGGCCCTGGCCCTCTCCAGGGGCACGAATCCGTGCGTTTTTACGTATATTCATATACATGGGCCCTCACATATCTTATAGATTGGGTCTCTCCAGGGGCACGCATCCGTTCGTTCTTACGTATATTCCTATAGATGGGCCCTCTCAATACGTATAGATTGGCCCTCGGGCACGAATACGTGCGTTTTACGTATATTCCTATAGAGTGGCCCTGTCCAGGATTACGTGTGATCCTATGGATTGGCCCTCTCCAGGGGCACGAATTTGTGCGCTTTTACATATATTTCTATACATTTGATCTTTCGAGGGCCCCAAGATTGGCCCTCTCCAGGGACACGAAGGGCCCAGGATACCTCAGGAAAGCTCCGATGGGGAGAAGCGTGAAAACAGATGGAGTCCTACCGTCCCAGGGCGGTTCCTAACGTCCGAGGGCGAGAGAAGCGTGAAAACACATGCCACAGAGCGGGAGTCTCCGGGGTGTTCCGTCGGTACGGTTGGCCTCGGTTCGGGTTCGCCCCCTCTTGCTTCGCCCCGCTTCGGAACTGAATCGGATCTTGAAATCGAGCTGGTTGAGAGCGCCGCACGTTTCAATTGCGACCAGCTCTGGGCGAATCATGTGTTCAGACAGCTCGAGCTTAAGATCCAAAACAGTTCGGTCAGGATTCGGAGGCCACGGGCGAGTTGATCCACAACGCAATCGAGCACAGCGCACTTCTGCGCAGCATGGCAAATCCCAAGTCAGCACAACACGGCGCAGCACAGCCCCTGGCACGGTACATCGCCGTCGATACCTTCAGCACTGCAAGTGCCCGTCGCCCAATTCGGTGTCGTGAAAACGTTTCCACGCTCCACATTTCCATATTCCTTTCCGGGTTCGTGGGTCGATCATGTTCAGAATTTGTTGAGGATGTCTCGAGGGAAACGCTTGTTTAGTGTTACAGATCGTTCCTCTCTTGGGGACCATAATTCAGAGGATGTCTCAGGTGAAATGCTTGTTTTCACGTGCCCAGACCTTGAGGATTTCTCGAGCGAGACGCTTCGAGGATGTCTCGAGCGAAACGCTTGTTTTACAGAACTCGAGCGGCCTGGGCACCCCAGGATGCCCAGGTGGTTCTGGGAGTCCGAACGCTGCGTAATTTACTAAGGAACGTGGCCCTGGGAGTAATTCACGAGGGAGCGTAGCCCTGGGAGCGTGGACGCAGCGTAGTTTACGAGGGACCGTGGCCCTGGCACGGTCCCTGGCAGGTTCCGTGGCGCGTCCCGTGGCGAGTCCCCCTGGCACGTCGCGCGGTGCGTCCCTTGGCACGTCCCGTGGCACGTCCATTGGCGCGTTCCGTAGCGCGTCCCCTTGGCACGTCCTACGGTGCGTCCCCATGGCACGTCCCCTGGCACGTCGCCTGGCGCGTCCCTTGGGACGTTCCGCGGCGCGTCCTCTTGGCATGTTCCCCTGTCGATTAGCTCTGGGGCAGCTCCTATGTGTTCAGGCAGCTCGGGCTTAAGATACTGATCAGTTCGGTCAGGACTCGGATGCAAAGGAGGACTCGATCCACAACGCTATAGAGCACAATCGCGGCATGGCAGATCGCAATTCAGCACGGCGCAACCGAGCACAGCCCTTGGCACGGAACATGAAGATCGATACACTCAGCATTGCAACCTGGCACGGTCCCTGGCACGTTCCGTGGCGCGTCCCGTGTCGAGTCTTCCTGGCACGTCGCGCGGCGCGTCCCCTGGCACGTCCCGTGGCACGTCCATTGGCGCGTTCCGTAGCGCGTCCCCTTGGCACGTCCTGCGGTGCGTCCCCATGGCACGTCCCCTGGCACGTCCTCTGGCCTGTCCCCCTGTCAATTAGCTCTGGGGCAGTTCCTATGTGCTCAGGCAGCTCGAGCTTAAGATACTGATCAGTTCGGTCAGGACTCGGATGCAAAGGAGGACTCGATCCACAACGCTATAGAGCACAATCGCGGCATGGCACATCGCAATTCAGCACGGCGCAGCACAGCACAGCTCTTCGCACGGTACATCAAGATCGTTACACTCAACATTACAATTGCCCGTCGCCCAATGAGGTGTCTTGGAAACGTTGCCATGCCTTACATTTCCAGATTTCTTTCCGGGTTCGTGGGTCGATCATGTTCCGGGACTGGGGGCACGCAAACATGGTCCCGGGATGGAAAAGCTGCCCTCCAGCGGGGTCTTCCCTGGCAATCCTGGGGGAACCTTTGGCCAGGGACACCTCTGGCCCTCTGGCAGCACCCGAGTTAAGACGAAGGCAAGATGAGGATGAATTCGGATGAGGATACATGAAGAATCTCTCAGAGCTGGCAAGTCTGGAGGATGTGTCGGGCGCTGCGGACGGTGCCAGGGCGTTCCGAAGCGTTCTGGGAGCGTTCTGGAACGCTCACGAAAGATGTATCCTCGTCCTAGGATTACCTGATCCTCCCTCTCCTCCTCCTCCTCCAGCTCCTCCTCCTCCTCTCCTCCTTCTCCTCCTTCTCCTCCGCCTCCTCTTTCTCCTCCTCCTCCTCCTCCTCGTCCTCCTCCTCTTCTTCTTCCTCCTCCTCCTCCTCCTCCTCCTCCTCATCATCATCATCATCATCATCATCATCATCATCATCATCATCATCATCATCATCATCATCATCATCATCATCCTTCTCCTCCTCCTCCTCTCCCTCTGGGAATGTCCAGCAACGTCCAGAAGGTATGGGAACCATCAGACAACTCATAGAAACCTTAGAACGACAACCAGAAGCCCCCAGATATCTGCTCCCTGTCCTCCTTATCATCTGCTCCCCTCTCTCGATATATATCTATATATAGAGAGAGAGAGAGAGAGAGAGAGAGAGAGAGATCCCTCTCTCTCTCTCTCTTTCCTCATCCCTCATCCCTCCCTCCTCCTTCCTCCTCATCCTCCTCCTTTTTCCTCCTCCTCCTCCTCCTCGTCCTTCCTTTTTCGCATCACTTCTCCGCCTCTTCTTTCTACGACCCGCGTGCTCGCGACAAGGAATCGGACGACACTGAAGCAGGCAGTACGGAAGAGATGGCGGAGAAGGTGGAAGAGGAGGAGGCGGGAGGAAGAAGGCGCGAAGAGCGGCGAGGAGGGTGAGGAGACCGAGGAGAGTGTGGTGAACCCTCCTGCGAGCCTTGAACTCGCTGGTGCCCGCGTGTTCGTGGCAGCCCACCAGGCTGTCCAGGCCGCTGCTCTCCCCGAACTTCGCGCCGTTCACGAAGACCTGCGCAGGAGGGAGGGGGAGGGTGGAGGAGGGGAGGGGGGGAGGGGGGGAGGGGAAGAGTCGAAGAGGTGGAAGAGGTGGAATGAAGATGTGGAAGGAAGGGGAGCAAGAGGCGGAAGGAACGAGGATGGGCAAGAGCGGAAGAGGTGGATGGAATGGGAGGGGAAGGGGGCGGCGCAGGGGGGAGAGAGGGACACCGACGATAAGGAGTCATGGGGAGGGGGAGGGGGAGAGGGAGGACTGCTGCTACTGCTCCCCCTGTGCGGGCGCTCCGAAGAGAGGGGGGATCGCGCCGCAGGGCGCCCTTGGCTCGCACCCAGCCACAGCACCCACTTCCCACATTCCCACACGGCACCCACGCTTCTGACCCTTCTCGCATTCTCACAAGCGGCACCTCCCGTGCGCCCACTTCTCGCACAATGTACAGCATCGATGTTGAACATGGTGCCGTTACCTCTCCAAATCCAAAACAAATTGCGACGCTGCTGCCTTCCACTTGCACCTGCAGTTGGCTCGGTTGCCAAGAGTTGGAAGATCATTTGTCCATCAAAACTAGTGTGCGCGACGTGGCCTTTTGAGCCTTTGTTTGCACACCGCGCGTAGCAGCACGCATGCACCATCTCGAATCTGTCCTATCGACGGACTTCTTGCACAACCTGTCATTCTCACAGTGTCGCGAGATGACCAGCCCACTGCTACTTAGATTGCAAGTGTGTGTGCTCCTGCAGGTGATCAGCGCCAGCATCGGTCACCCCCTCCCCCTCTCCTCGGCGAAGCAACGTCGAGGTGGGGTCGAAGAGAGGGGGCGTGGATGGATCGAGGAGGGACGGGAAAGGGGGGCGAGGAAGATAGGGGGCGAGGAGGCTTGGACGCGCATAAATAAGGGAGGGTGAGAGAAAGAGAAGAATTGAAGAGGAACGCGCGCACGCACTCCACCACCCTGCGAAATGCTTAAGAAATCATGGGTTAAGAAATGCATAGTCTCAGAACTTGAATAAAACATCCAAAGTTTCTATTCAGATCTTAGGATTCACATTGAAACCTTAAGAATAATCGAAACCCTGACCGAACTTTAAAGTTTTCTTCAGCATCGCCTAAGGTGTAAACTGTTGTGGGTGGGCAGCGTTGGTGCGCGCTCGCCGCGCTCGCGCCCCAGCACCCCCCCCCCCCCCCTGCCTCGGCTGGCGCCCGAAGAGTGACCTGGCTCCCCTCTCGCCTCCACCCCCACGCTGCCCCATGAAAATCAAGTCGGGCGTGCCCCCCCCTATAGGTGGATTTCCGACGAACAATTAAACTATCCAAAAACATACCCCCAAAATGACCAAAAAATATTCAAGCCTAATCCCCATTATTATTATTTGTTGGCTAGTTCTGGATATTCTTCCTGTAGAGGGGCGGGCCCGACTTAACATAAAACGGGGTAAGATGACACGCGTCGAAACCTCACGGATGCATCGCTGCGCTACTTTTGGCGACCGACGACGGCGGCGAACGACAAACGACAAACGAAACGGGCGACGAACGACAATCGACGAACGACACAGACGACGACGACGACGACGACGACGACGACGACGACGACGACGAGCGACGAACAACGAGAGGTGACGAGGAAAACGACTGTCGATGAACAGCGAACGACGACAGTGACAGACGACGCGCGACGAATGTCAAATGACGCCGCAGTGCGTTTGCAACGGCCCTCTCGAGCTTAGGATCCAGATCAGTTCGGTCAGGACTCGGATGCAAAGAGGACTCGATCCACAACGCTATATAGAGCACACTCGCGGCATGGCACATCGCAGTTTAGCACGGCACAGCCCAGCACAGCACAGCCGTCGGCACGGTACATCAAGATCGATACTCTCAACATTGCACCTTGGCACGTCCCTTGGCGCATTCCGTGGCGAGTCCACCTGGCACGTCGCGCGGCGCGTCCCCTGGCACGTCCCGCGGCGCGTCCATTGGCACGTTCCGTAGCGCGTCCCCTCGGCACGTCCCGCGGTGCGTGCCCATGGCACGTCCCGTGGCACGTCGCCTGGCGCGTTCCTTGGGACGTTCCGCGGCGCGTCCTCCTGGCATGTTCCCATGTCGATTAGTTCTGGGGCAGCTACCATCTGCTCAGGCAGCTCGAGCTTAAGATCCAGATCAGCTCGGTCAGGACTCGGATGCAAAGAGGACTCGATCCACAACGCTATATAGAGTACGCGCAGCACAGCCCTCGGCACAGTACGTCAAGAACGATACACTCAGCATTGCATTGGCCCGTCGCCCAATCAAGTGTCTTTGAAACGTTGCCATGCCTTACATTTCTATGTTCCTTTCCGGGTTCGTGGGTCGATCATGTTTGATCGATGTCCTCCAAGATGCCCCCAAGAGCGCCCCTCAAGCACCCAAGAGCGCCCCAAGAGGATCCCAGGACGCGCCCAAGAGACCTCCAAGAGGCTCTCAAGAAACCCCCAAGGCGCATCAAGAGGATCTCCCAAAGGCATTTAAGAAGCTTCTGGCTCTTCTGTTCGCCGTCCTCCTCTTCCTCATCCACCTCTTTCTCTTCCTCCCCCCTCCCCCTTCCCCCTCCTCCTCCCCTCCTCCTCCTTTTCCTCCTCCTCCTCCTCATTCTCCTCCTTCTCCTCCCTCTCATCCTTCTCGTCCTCCTCCTCCTCCTTGCCCTACTCAATCTCCTCCTCCTCCTCCTCATTCTCCTCATGTTCCTCCTCCTCCTCCTCGTCTTCTTCCTCCTCCGACGACGACGACGAGAAGGATTCCTCCTCCATCCTCCCCCTATTGGGGTAGGTGACATTCCCCACATCCTAAGATGGGGTTCTTGTTATTACTCGGACGCCGCCGACTCCAGAGAACCAGAGAGAACACACCTACTCATACACAGACTTACTCAGACTCAGACCTACTCATACCCATACCTTCTCATGGCCTGACTTACTCAACACACAACATGCAGGCCTACTCATACTCAGACTTACTCATGCTGGGACTCCTTCATACCCAGACTTACTCATACCCAGACTCGTTCCCAGATCTGCTCATACACAGACTTACTCATACTCAGACCTACACATACTCAGACCTTCTCATAGTCTGAGTTACTCAACGCACGGACTGAGACCTACTCATACTCAGACCTAATCACACTCAGACTCGCAAGGGGAGCCGCCAAGGGTGTTTTCACAGGCCCGTTCGCGTCCAGTTTGTGGGGATGTCTCAAGCGGTTTGCTCATTGTCATGCCCAACATCCTTTGTTGTCAGAGCAGGCTGTGAGGATGTCTCAGGCGGGGCGCTGGTTTCAGCACCCCTAGGGGAGCCCCCAGGGGTGTTTTCACGGGCCCGTTCGCGGCCAATGTGTAGGGGATGTCTCAAGCGGTTTGCTTGTTTTCATGCCCAACATCCTTGGCTTTCAGAGCAGATTGTGAAGATTTCTCAGGCGGGGCGTTGGTGTCAGCACCCCTAAGGGGAGCCGCCAGGGGTCTTCCAACGAGGCAGGTCCCTCTGGGGACGTGAACCGTTGTAGGGGCCTATGGAGAGGGAGCTTGGAGGGAGGGCTTATTACAACATCGTTGGTGACTCTTGGGTTACACTGATCCTCCTCCTCCTCCTCCTCCTCCTCCTCCTCCTCCTCCTCCTCCTCCTCTCGTCCTCGTCCTCAATTTTCTTTTCGTTTCCTCCTCCTCCTCCTCATAGATTCTCCCCGCCCCGAAGCTCGGAGGAGGAACTGATCAGCTCCCTCTGCCGAAGGTTCGCCGCCGGCGCCGCCTGGGGAAGGGGCGCGGAGGCGGCGGGGAGGGAGGGCCGCCTGGTCGTTGATCGTGAACCTCGTGTCCGCGCGGGTGGCGTTCGCCCTGATGCGGCTCGCCTCCGCGACCAGGCCGCAGGGGAGAGGAGGAGGGAGGAGGAGGAGGAGGAGGAGGAGGAGGAGGAGGAGGAGGAGGAGGAGGAGGAGGAGGAGGAGGGGAGCAGGAGGGGGAGGATGACAAGGGACGAGGTGGAGGAGGAAGAGGCCTCTACCCTGAATCCAAATCCGCCGTACTTTGGCTGATGTTCCATATCTGTCGGAAATGCACCCAAAACGATGCGACAAAATATGATGGAAAGTTCCGTTTCAGAAAAGTGAGGCCGACATCTCCGCGAGAGTATGGCGGGAACTGCGACAGCAAAGACATCAAAGGAGCTTGACAAATAGGGCAGACCTTTTCGCCCTACTTGCGACATCGCCCAAAATTTGGCGGACCCAGGGTCAGGGATCCAAACCTTTCTCGGGAACGTACGCCTACACCCAACTCCGCACCTCTTTGGACGACCTCAGCCTCACAGTTTACCTCTCAAGCACCCGCCAGGCCTCTCCCACCAACCTGCCCCGCCCTCCCAGCCCTCCCCCTCCCAACCTCGCAGCAATGCCCGCCCCTTCCCTTCGGCCCACCAACGTTATCCTGCCCCTTCTCGTGCGGGGCGGAATGGGATGGGAGGAACACCGCGGGAAGGGAAGGCACCAGAAGACCACTGTCGGCACTGACCGCCCTGGGCTTCAGCGGACCACCCTGGCCAGCCGCTCGCCGCGGACGGACAGGTGGGGATGCCAGGGGCCGTGGGGGGGGAGGATGACCAACGTCGACACGGGCCGCTCTGGGCAAATGCCCCGGGCGGCCGTGGACCACCTTGGCCGCGCCACCAGTGAGAGCCCACGCCGAGGGGGCCTTCGCCTCCCCCATCGGGGGGGGGGGGGCCGTTCGGGCCACGCCCGCACCTCACCTGCTCACGAGCCTCCACCTCCCCTCGCTGATGCCGGCGGACACCACGCACGCCCCCCCCTGCCCCGCGCCCTCCTTTTGCCCCGCGCACACCACGTTCCCACGATCCCCCTCCCTGCCCAACGCCACCCGATGCCGCGCGCCACCTGTTCAGCCGCACCACGTCGCCACCCGGTGCACGCACGCCACGTGCGTCGCGGCGCCGCCACACACCTGACCTCGCCCCTCCTCTGAGCCTTGGGCTGTGCAGGGGAGGGTTTCCCTGCTCCGAGGAGAGGATACGCCGAGGTGGGCTCATACCCCGTCCTCGGGAGTGCGGGGCCTATGCTCGCCCCCTCGCCCCCTCCCCCTTTTCCACCCCCTCACCCACCTACCCACCCACCCACCCACCAACCAACCTACCCACCCACCCAAATACCCACCCACCCACCCATCTACACCCCCACCCACCCACCCATTCACCCACCCACCCACCCACCCATTCACCCACCCCAACCCCCCACCCACCCACCCCCCCACCCACCCCCACCCACACACACACAGACACACAAACACGCACATACATATATATACACACACACACGCACACACACACACACACACACACACACACACACACACACGCGCGCGCGCACCCACACCTGCACCCGCACCACCCATGCCCGCACCCACACCCACAAGCACACAACCCACCCACCCCCATCCACCCATCCAACCATCCACCCACCCCCACAATCACAACGACATACCCCACACACACACACTCGTTCATCACGAATCATAACTATTCAGCAGCCCCTTGCACAAAACAAAAAACAAAAAAGTGCACACGCGCGCGTCGTCTTGCGCGCATTTTCGAAAACTCTTGGTGTCGTAAGGATATCAAAGTCGAATGTCCTAAAACATCACAGCGAACACACACACACACACGCACACACACAAACACACACACACACACACGGTTTCGCAACACGAATGTTCAAAATAGTTTGCGTTCGTGCTCTTGCGAGCTCTGAAGAAAATCAAAACATCTTCGGCATGTCCAAGGCATGCTACCACATGGGCCCCTCGCGCGCGCATATCGAAATCGTTCGGACGCCCTTGCGCGCGTGATGTCGCAAGAATCCCTTGCAACAGGACGAAGTGCACACGCGCGCGTCGTCGCGCACGCATGCCAAAATCTTTCAACAACCGTAGGTTTCGGCAGGGTTCCAATATCGACTGCCCCGAAAGCATATACGTAAGCACACATGGTTCTGCAGCACCAGATTTCAATTAAAAAATTGCGTTCGCGCTCTTGGGAATTCTCCAGAAAACCATAAGTTGATCAAGTATTATTAAATTCTGTCAAACGGACTTTTCCAACCGCATGTCGACATCAATCGAACGCCATTGCGCGCGTGCTGGGGGCCGGGGGTGCATGATGCGTGCCAGCGATTGTCAAATTTTACCATGCGGGCCATTCTCGCGCGTCGGCCGCGCGCGCATGTCGAACTCCTTCCAAAACCTTCATCACCGACGCGAGGACGCTGTCATCGTCGCCGGCGTGATCAGCATCAGCGCCGTCCCTGGCCGTGCCGTCGCCGTTGTCATCATCGTCACCATCGTCGCTGCTATCAAAACCGTGTCTACCGTTGTCGACGTTGACATGATACCGCGCCCGCCCAATTGGCTGTCTCGCACTGAAGTGTCCGCTGGGAAGTGCCCAGAGGTCAGCGCCACCGCGGCCGCGTCGGTCGCGCCAAACTAGCTGGCCGCTGCGCGCGCGAGCATGCGCGGGCTAGCGCGGCCGCAGAGATGCACCAGCCAACACCAAGCACTCATCGCAATCGCCACCGCATGCGTTTTGCAAAGCAAGTTGCGGGTGGGTGGGTGGGATGATTGCGCGAGCAATGCAGCTGACAACTGCGAGTTCAGAAAGTGATTAGCGCCCCGTAGATTGCACCGCTGAGATAGCATCAGGAAGCTTGTGCCACACTGAATGCACCCCATACGTAATGTACCACGCGTAGTCCACCACATTGCTTGCACCACATAAATTGCACCGAATCTGGTGCACCATAAGTGTTGCACCACACTGTATATACCACCTGGGCTGTGCCTCTTAGCTTGCACCGCCACATCGGGTGAACCACATAAGTTGCACCACATGTTGCATATCCATAATGCGAGAACTTCCAGCTTGAGGTTCACGCTGGCAAACGCGACGTCATGTAAGTATACGTCTCCCTATGACTGGCTACGTCATTAATCCCATTCCTGTTCCCATTCCAAACTCCATTCCCATTCCCTTCCTTGCTCCCTCCCGTCCTCCTTCCCTCACTCCTCCTCCTCCTCCTCCTCCTCCTCCTCCTCCTCCTCCTCCTCTTCCTCCCCCTCCTCCTCCTCAACCTCCACCTCCTTCACCTCCTCCTCCTCCTCCTCCTTCTCCTCCTCCTCCTCCTCCTCCGCCTCCTCCGCCTCCTCCTCCTCCGCCTCCTCCTCCTCCTCCTCCTCTTCCTCCTCCTCGCAACGCTCGCTCTGGGGAGGGTCTCCTCATTCCCCCTCCCTCCTCCTCCTCTGGCCGTCGCCACGGTCCTCGTCACCCTCGCCGTCGCCGCCGCCGCCGTCGATCCGGCTGCGAAGACCAGGGCGCGGGCCGCGGCGTCGTCGGGGGGACGCCGCCGCCGCCGAACGGGACGCCCCGCCTCGGCCGGGACGCCGTCGAGGAGGGCCAGCAGGGCGACGAAGACGGCGGCGCGGGCCATGGCTTTAGGAAGGCACCAACTATACACCAACACCGATCCTGGCCAGGATCGGTGTTGGTGTATAGTTGGTGCCCTCCGAGGCTTGGGTCGGACGAGCGGGGGGGGGATTAGCAAATGACTAGCTGCCAGACCACCCCAACCCAACCCGAAGACCCAGACTTCGGGCCTGGGGGGGGGGGGGGCGGGTTCCAGATGCGTCCTTCCCGGAAAGGGCGCGGGCCCAGGGCTTTCTTTCCGTAGGTAAACCTGTCCCCGGTGCCAAATTCAAAAAAAGGACTGGCGGATTCATGCGCGGTAAATAACGAAGTCGAAGATGGCCGGCGGATTAAAATGTGAGGATGTCCCGAGCGAAATGCTGGTTCTTGCAATTACGAGCGATGAAACAAAGGGTAAAGTGCAAATATTCGTTTGTTGTGAATACCTCAAACGAAACGCTTCTCTTGCAGATCTTGCTGAGGATGTCTCGGGCGAAAAACATGTTTTTTGTCCTACACGTTGCTCCTCTTCTGGGGGCCAGAATTCAAAGGGTCTCTCAGGTGAAATGCTCGATTCCACGCGCCCATGTCGCCCAGGAAAGTATCTAACAGGGTTGTCCCGAGCTGGAACCACGTGCTTGGGAACCACCTGTCTTCAAGTGCCCAGGCCACCCCGAGGAGTGTTCAACATGGTGGTCCCGAGCTGGAGCCACGTGTTTTCACGTGTCCAGGCCACCCAGGCAGTGAGGAATCGAACATGGATGCCCCGAGCTGGAGCCACGTGTTTTACGGGGGGCGGGCCACCCACCGGGGGGGACAACGCACGCTGTCGCCTGGGCGCCCCCAGCATGGGGGGGCCAACAGGAGCCAGACAAGATCGATGCATCGGCACCAGGTTTGTAATCACCTGACTCAGTATGTCGACACATCGGCGATGCATCGCCGACGTCGGTGATGCGTCGGCGACATCGGCGTGGAGGAAATCGAGCTCCACGCCGAGCCGCATCGCCGATGCGTCGGTGATGCGGCGCGGTGCTCCGACCCCATCCACGCGTGTATTTAGGGGGGAGAAGATGGAGGCGGACACCGAGCGAGGACCAGGGGGAGGAGGGGACTTCGGCTTGTGATTTTCCAGATTGTTCCACTGGGGCATCTAACATGGTGGTCCCGAGCTGGAACCACGCGTTTTCACCTCAGGAAAGGTATCTGACATGGTGGCTCCGAGCTTGGACCACATGTTTTCACACGTTCGGGCCACGCATAAAAGGGGTATCTGACATTGTGGTCCCGAGCTGATCCCATGCTCTTTGCAGATCCCGGCCATCTAGAACGGTACCCAGGGAGCTGAACCATGTGTTTCCACGTGTCCACGCCGCCCAGCGGGGT